CTTTTCAGTTTTAAAAATAGAAAAACAAATATGGGAAATCCAATATAATACATTTAAATTCTACACTGACTTCTATTCAACTGTAAGCACCTGGAAAAATGATTGTGGTGGTCTCCTGGGGTTTGAGCCGCTGTGCAGAACTGTCATTGGGAGCGTGAGAGACGCTGCTTTCAGTCGGGACATCTCCATCATGTGGCGGGACATCCAGGTCTGCTTTGGCACTCATAGCAAGACTCCGCTCAGTACCACTAACAACAGAGGATTGAGGACATCGTAGTACAGTACAGAAGTCAGTTCACTTTTCATATGGAACACTGGCAGAGAATGTCCTTCAGAAGTAGAATGTTGATGTTTGAAATAAAGGGAACAGCATTGCTAAAATGCTGTGGTTTATCAGATATTTTAAGAGGAAGACAATTAGCCATTTAGGAGGATATTTTCTGTCACAAAGAAAAATGAAAGAGAATCAGGATAATGCACAATGATGTTAATGCTCAACCTATCAACTGATAGCGATGACCATTTTAATCGATGGTGATGCATAATCCATAAACTCATGGTGATGGTGGTGATGCTCATCCCATAAACCAGTGGTGGTGATGATTATGCATAATGCACAACTGATGGTGGTGATGCTCATCCCATAAACCAGTGGTGGTGGTGATTATGCATAATGCACAACTGATGGTGGTGATGCTCATCCCATAAACCAGTGGTGGTGGTGATGGTGATGATTATGCATAATGCACAACTGATGGTGGTGATGTGAGCGAATCTTCAATTCCATGTCAAAAAGCATCAGTTCAAGCGCATCCTCTCCCCGAAATAATCTTTACCAATGCAAAATGGCGGAAGTCCATGTTCCTGTGCGGTAAACTGTCAAGTAGGCGAACCATTCATTATTTCATTCCGCTCTTGCCTGAAAGACTGCTTTATGAGGAGCATCCGATTCCGATGCATTTGGAAGGAAAAGACAGATGCGCTCAGTTATGATGATCGATATCAAAACATATGCTGTGATTTCAAGGCAACCGCAGCTTAATTGCTAATTATAAGAGCTATTTAATAATTTCACGAAGGAAAATTAGGATGGAACGCGCGTCATCATCAGTGTCCAGAAATGCATGCAAAGTAAAATCTATTTCTATCGATCGCGTATTAATGGCATGATTGACATGAATTGTGTGTAATGTGAGGGCGATCAGATAATGAATTTATTCTCACCAGTGCTGCTCTTGCTCGGGAGGAGTATGATCTGCGCATGCGCGCATCAGGAGAGCACAATCCTCTGATGTTTGAAAGTGTGTTGCATTTACACCAATTCACACGAGACTGCTATAAGGATCATCTTATACAACATAATATATTTTAATATAGCTATTAATGACACTGGAGCAAACGAGTAAATTCCTAAATAAAAACCAACAAATAAGTGCATACACTCCACTGTCCACATTCAGCCGATGCTTTGGCATAGGACAGTCATGCATTTCTAGTAGTTTTAATCAAGTGATTGTTATCTGGGAATGGAAATGTCCATTTTAAAAATATCATTAGTTAAACAATACGTTCTTTATTTGGATTCGGTGAACTAGAAATTGAAACAACTACATGTTTTTTCCTCTATATTTCTACTTCTGTAGTGCATTATTTAATTTTCTGTTTTTCTTATATTATAGTGTTATAATTCCTATGTATGTCTGTACTTTCTTCTGCACTGGAAGCTCCTGTGCCAAGTCAAATATCTCAAGTGTGTAAACATAGCCTACTTGGTAATAAAGCTCTTTCTGACTTCTGAATAATAATTCATATATAATGCAGACTTTGCTGTTCAAACATAGATAAAGATGCACTGCACTCAGAATACTGAACATAACTTATGCCGTGCACACTTTGTTAAATTCTGATTACACCAGTCCCGGGAAAACGCCATGAGGGAATTAATAGTCACAAAACATCAGTGCATCAGTACTTTGTGCATGTATTAACACAAAATCATGACAGATTGCTCTCACTATTTACAGTGCAATACAAAGCCTAAAGTGAAACTTCCCCACAAAGAGGAAGGTTTGCAGTTTATCGACCTCGTTACTGGACTTAATATGCATTACACTTGACTTTAAAAGCATTAGAACGCACATTTTGCTTTTCCATTGTGTATATTTAGATTTAAACCTCATTAGGGTTTAATCCATGAATTAATCTCATGACACCTTTCAAGAAATTTTCACCACAAATCCAACTTGTATAACATTGTTAAAATCAGTGTGGCAACGTCATGAACATACGGTCGCCGTGATTTTGTCCTGGATCAACAGCTTTTGTTGATCCACACTCTAAAAAGTGCTGGGTTAAAAATAACCCAGCGCTGGGTTAAAAAGGGACAAACCCAGCTATTGGGTAGTTTTGACCCAGCGGTTGGGTTGTTTTGACCCGGCGGTTGGGTAGTTTTGACCCAGCTATTGGGTTGTTTTGACCCAGCGGTTGGGTTGTTTTGACCCGGCGGTTGGGTTGTTTTGACCCGGCGGTTGGGTTGTTTTGACCCGGCGGTTGGGTAGTTTTGACCCAGCGTTTGGGTCGGTTTGACCCAGCGTTTGGGTCGTTTTGACCCAGCGGTTGGGTTTTTTTGATCCAGCGTTTGGGTTGTTTTGACCCAGCGGTTGGGTTGTATTGACCCAGCGGTTACACTCTAAAAAACATTTGGGTTGACCCAACGTTTGGGTTGACCCAGCGTTTGGGTTGGTTTGACCCAGCGTTTGGGTTGTTTTGACCCAGCGTTTGGGTTGTTTTGACCCAGCGTTTGGGTTGTTTTGACCCAGCGTTTGGGTTGTTTTG